GGGTTATTCTAACATATATTAATAATAAATATTAATTTATACATGTATATCAACTGTCTCCCACGTTCTTAAAATTTACACAAAAAAGCGTTGTTGATACTTTATTGCATTTGTAGTGCGTCAAATGATTTCCCACGAAGTTTCTCGGAAACACACTTTTCTGTGAAATTGAGATACAAAATTGTGCATTATTACTAACGCTCAAATTTCCTCAAAAGACTCCAAATGTTTCAATGAAAATGATATTTAGGAACGTGGTTTACTCTTCTGTAATATTATTAACGCCGTATTTCAATTCTGCTATTCGAGCACAGAAAAAACAAGAAAATGCAAAAAAAAATGGCTTTTAGGCGCCGAGGTAGCAGCTGGGAAGAGTGTAAGGCAAAACAGAATAACTAGCTCAGAGTAACGTGATTAAGAAAGTAACTAGGATGAGAAAGTCTGTGCCAATTTGTAGCATCACTAGTATCCGTATGACCTTTGAGGCCGATTGATCGAAAAACGTCATGCATCTAAAGGTGAGATTCCCCACAAAACAGTGAGAAAAATATCGATTTTTGTTTTTATCTTAAAATATTCTCTGGACTTTTCCGAATATTTTGGCATATTATCAATTGAAAAATTGTTGTTTTTTGTTTATTTTATGGCGTTTTGAATGTGAATCAGTACGGACTGGCTGACTTTTCAGACGTTCCATGGTTCCACACAAAACAGAGTTCCGAAACTACTTATTCCTGACGGCAGTGGTTTTCGAGCTTTCTTTCCTATATATCTTGTTTATCTGTGCAATTTGGCGGGCACGTTGTTCTTCCGTGTTTTTAAAGTTAAGTGTTATTTCCTCTCTCTTGAGGTAAACAGTGGGAGAGTCAGTTGTGAAAGAAATGTCAACTAGTGCGACTTAAATGACAAAACTGAAATGTGTTTTTAAAAAGCTTGGGAACAAAGGAAATATATTCATTCGTGAAAATTGTTAACACTGTGAGTAATTCGAGAAATTCGTTTAGTAATGATAATCTTAACTCCAGAAGCAAGTGATGCAGTCAAGCTCTACTGCTGTTCCCAAGCGGAAATCCTAGCTAAGAAAATGAACAGACCGAAAAGGAGAGAAAACAATTTTTAGATGAAAGCAATAATGAGAATAACTCACAATATGGAGCAGATACTTTTAAGTATAATAATAAAACAAATATTATGGGTAATTTCTAATGACAACTTTAACACTGTTTTTCTCAAAACACAGTTTTTCGTTATTAATTCACCAATTTTTCAATAACTATTAATCCCACATTATTAAATCCTTTACAAATTAATTTAGTAGATAATGTGAAGCTGTGAATCTACGTTTGGGAAGTTATCATTATCTGTTTCCATTTTATAAGTAAATGTTTCATTAAATTTTAGGAAACAATGGAGGTCCAAGGAAAAATGTTTCAGTGTACTGCCAAGAAACTCTATTCAATGTAGATCGGTACAGCAACAATAGTACAGATAATACAGGATAAAAATTTGAAATGCGCATTTGCAATAGTTTCTGAGGTACTCGTAATAGGTCACTAATATAAAAAGTTTAACATGAGCAACATAGGAAGGGGAATGTCAACTTAATATATTTGTATAGTACTTCAAATATTGTTATGGATACGAAAAATTACAGAAAAATAAGAGTATTACAAATAACACAAATACCAGAAATCCTGTATTCATTCTCATTTTGCACTTTTTTGTTAATGTAGTAGTACTTCCAAAGTTCCAATATTTAGATAAAGAAACAATATATTAATTTCAAGTACACTAACCCCCCATTTGTTGCTTCTATGTCCCATTGGCAATCCATCGAGGTGTAAAGAGTGTTGTCAACGCACAGAAAAGTGTTCCTTGGAATCGATACATATCATGTAGTCATTTTTAAGCGAGCGGGACTGAAGAACACCGGTCAAGGCTTGTAAATCATGAACACACAACAGCGTTTCTGAACCCTGGCATCTTTCTCCTAAAAAATACGCTTAGGCAAACGAGAGAAACGAATATTTGAGAAAATTTTGAAAATGAACATTGCTATAAATGATACACAGGAGGTTTTTTTCATTTATTTATTCTCTCTCTCTCTCTCTCTCTCTCTCTCTCTCTCTCTCTCTCTGTATATATGTATATGTATATATATATATATATATATATATATATATATATATATATATATATATTCCTGTAAACTTCTTTATGAAAAATCAAGATATGTAAATCCGTCAAACAAATGGCAATGAATAGACTAAGTCTGTATATTGTAGACTAATATTTGTAAAATGCGATGTTTATTGAACAAATCTCGTATGTTTATGTATAATTAAAAGACTCAAAGTAAATAGAATAAACCGACGCTCTATAGCTCGTATAGGCTCTTAACAAAAGTTAAAGAATGTGATAAGCCGAGCGAGTTTCGCTATTTAGAGCAAGAAAAAACATTACGTAAGTCTTGCGTAACTGCTCTCAGAACGCGCGATGCCTCCGGTAATTTATCTTTTCATTAGACAGAGCCTGTAACAGTAGACGTAATCGCGGCGCTACAGGAATACACATCATATCGGTTGTCTTCTATTCTTTGTTGCAGAAAATAGAATCAGAAAACAATGGCCACAATCAGTACTTCGCAAATTAGTTCAAGGATACTATTAACTCTTAACTAACACGGAGAGGTGTCACAGCTCTCGTATGTTCCTTTTTTATTGAACTAGGATTGGCATAGACGTAATGTTATATATATTTAGTCATAGCAGGAAATATAATTATTTGAATAATGCATTTTATTCAATTATTTTTTGATTTTACAATTGCAAAACTTTTTTGTTATTTGTTTTTACTTTCTCATTCTATTATCTTAGAAAAATATTATTATTTGCATAACTTGTGTTCACATTCTTTACAAACTTTCTTTGCACATTGCAAACATATAGAACGAGCACATTTGAAGCAGGGGTACCTTGTTTTTCTCTTTATTTTTGGTGATGAAAGGAAGCAAGGCCTTCTAGTTTCAAATGTCTCGTCCTCCTCCTGTTCTGCTATTGCTTCACACTACCTAAAATTCTCTTGAAACTGCAAGATATAGATAAGGTAATGTCCTGTTTTGCAGCCTGTACTTCATCACGAGATATGTCATTGCTTTTGCGAGGGTCTTTATAATATCCAAATAAGTCATTTTTGGAGTGTCTTTGAATGATTCGAAAATGGCTTATGCATTGACTGTATTTAGAGTAAAAAATATTGCCATTGGCCATCTCCTGGTTCTTGTACTTGTAGTAGAGTAGTTTACACATTTTTTATTCAGACTGTCATTTCATTTTTTAATTTAGTCTCAAACTTTGGAAAATTGTTCATGGCTTTATTTCAAAATATATTCTTAGGAAACAGGTTTCTTTAAGAAAAACAATTTATCTTTAATAATTTAGTTCTTGGAAGACTCCGAAAACATTTAAAATTTTTGCAGTTTTAAAAAAATCAGAGTTTTCTAAGAAAATGATTTCTTTGTCGTGCGTTTTAACGTTCTTTACATTAATCAACAACAATATTTAATTAAACAATGAAACCATTTTTTTAAAATTTGGGAAATGCTTCATGTATAGTATCCCTCCCCCAAATTGAAATATTGGTTTCAAATTCAAGGGGTCGCAACATCGGTCAGATAGATTAGGAACTATTAATTTGGGAGATACTCAGCTAAACGGATTAGCCAGTAGCCGCTAACGTTGTTCAGAGATGAGCGAACAGGCAGACAGACAGACAGACATGTTGCTCGTCCTTCGATTGTTCGGTATCAAAACTTGGCAACACCACGCGATAGAGGTTTTTTTCCTCTAAATTTTGCAACTGGGTTTATCCACTTTGCGTTTTGCAGGGCCCTATTTTACGAGTTTTTCTGTAATTCGCTGTTTTCCCGCGCAGCATTACATACCTTTCTATGCCGAAGGTATGGGAGAAAGTAAAAACACGTTGGGATAGCCTATGACCCGTTGCGATTGTTAAAAGAAACTGACCGTTTGAAAATAAATTTCTATATCTTATGTTTTTAGAAATCTTTAATCAAAAATAAATCAAAATATCTAATTACGACGTCAAAATCGAAGAAGAAATATTGGTAGATATGGCTTAGGACATCAACTGATGTTACAGCAGTCCCTCTGACCGGGAGATCCTAGATTCGAGTCCCAACGGTGGCCCTCATTAGCATGTCAGCTAGATCGAGTTCAGTCACTGTCGGGAAGAGAATTCTAGCGGCCGGCTGATCTGTTTGGTAGTTTTCGGCGGTTTCTCCTATCAACACCATGTGAATGATGGAGCAGTACCTTAACAAACGGGCCACGGACCGTGCGCGCTCTTTCCTACCTCTTCCTTGTCCAATCCTCATTCCTTACACACACACATACTAACATGCACTACACTACAACACATACCGGGAGGCTAGTCGGGTTCTTAGAGCTAGTCCCGGCTGGCGCGGAGCACCTCAATTGGGAAATACCAGGTTGAAAACAAACCGACTAGCTGGCGGTAGGTCGGCACCGGATATCGCAATACAACGTGGAAAGACCTCCGCCACCTCCCAAGCACTACATTTACGGAACTGATGGCCGTAGTATAGTTGACACGCCCAGAATCACTAACAAGCAGTCGAAGAAGAAATCCTTCCCTTCCTGCGGTGAGGACGCATGTTTGTATTTACTAGGCTGTCCGGGTGACGCCGCGTCCATGGCGAAGATGCCGCCGTTTCGGTCGCCATTCTGCGACCTTCCTCAGGGCGTAATGCCTTATTGCCGCATAGGGCGTAATGCCTTTTGCGTCGCATTACG